TGACTAAAATTTCTCTTGGAGCTGAATTTGTCCCATTGGCCTCCAGGTGACGAGCCCTAGTTACCTTTTGATCTCGTCATCTGGAGACTGGGTAGCCTCGAAGTGTGCAGCGTGGCCAGCTTGATACATCCGTCCCAGCGCTCTGCAGCACGGGCCTCTGTCGCCTCTGCTTACGGTGACGCACAGGGCCAGCCGTGTCCGCTCCCGTTCCTGCCCCAGCGGGTTTGCTCTGCAGGTGACGGGGGTCTTTTTCTCCTTGTCCTAGATCGTTGGGATCATCACTCGACACAACCTGACCTACGAATTTCTGCAGGCCCGGCTACGGCAGCACTACCAGACCATCTGACGGCCCAGCGCGGCCTCACCGCCACACGCCAGCCTGCCCTGTCCCGGAGCTGCCCAGGGAGGCGGCTCGCTTGTGCTCCGTCGCCACGGCCGGCTGGGGCTGTTCCAGGACACGGAAGATTCCCACTCACCCACTCGCTCAGAAGCCTCCAGTCATCGAACACTTTGCCGGTCAGCCATCCCGGGGATGGTGTTGAACCACAAGAGCCTGGGCCTGTCTGACTTTCTCAGCAAGTATCTTCCTATTTCCTGCTCCCCGCTCTCCTGCCGTCCAGCATGGGCCCCAGCCCCAGGCCCTTCCACCCCACGCGTGCCAGGACCAGAGGGGGCGTCAGGCCTTGGCCACCGGGGAGTGATGCCCAGAGCAGTTTTCCTGCCCCCTCCTGCTGCTCTGCTAGGGAACCCAACTGTTGCCTTCAACTGTAACAGGAGGGGCTTTGGCCAAGGCAGGTGCTGGGGCTAAGGTCAGCTGCAAAATGCAGCGAATCACCAAATTTAGGGACTGAGCCACTGAGATCACCCATGTTTCAGGGGGGCCCTCCTGCGTCGGGACTCTGGACAGGCGCACCAGTTCGTTTGAAGGGAAACATGGCTTCCTGGGGGAGCTGCTGCTCTCGGCTTGCCCCCGTGGTCACAGCCTCCTTGGAAGCGCCACCCTCCAGAAGCACAAGTCCCACGGACCATCCCTGAAGGAGAAGCCTGGCAAGACGCTCTGACTTACAGCCGCCCTAGTCTTTAGCATTTCGGCTTCTCTCCTGGTGACTTGTGTTTTCCGTGGTCCGTCCCTTGTTCCTCCCCTCTGCACTGAGTTACTGACCCGTGAGTTCTTACGTGTTCTTTCTGGTGAGGCAGCCACAGCCCAGGTGTTCCCCCCGCCCGACCATTAGCTAAAAGCAGGGCACCCCGTAATAAAACTGCTCGACCCAACTCTGGGGAATGGTACCGTTACCTCTGAGACAGACAGAAGCCAGTCCTGGGCCAGTGAGCACTACAGGCACGTGATGTAGCCGAGAAGCCAGGGTTAGGACAGCACAGATGGCTTATTCCAGGGAGGAGGGCTTGTCCCCGTCACACGCCTGTTTCACCCCCCTGCTGCTAGCCATCCCCAGCCCACTGAGGGCCCAGACATGGAAACTGTGCTGCCAGGGGGCTGGGTTGGGAGGGACAGCCACCAGCACGTGCCCCAAGGCCCAAGCGTGAACCCCGGGAAGGAAACCCGTCTGTCTCTCCAGGCTGGGGGGCCCTCTCTGACCAGGCCCCCAAAGTGAACACTCGGTGTTGGGTATTTTGCCCTTACTTTCCTCCTAACCTCTGCTCTCCCCCTACTTGCATCCACACCCTAGGCCCATCGCTATGCAGCCTTGTGACAGATGAGCTTTGGGACTCAAGATGGCATTTATTTGCATTTAAGTTTATGTTGGGTTTTTGTGTGTGTCAACTGTGGCAGTTCCCCAAGAACATGGCCTGCCCTCGACAATGCCGTCCCTTACCCTCTGCCTCCGGCCTGACTTCTGTTGCCAGGACTGCCGTGTGGCCTGGAGGTGGGCGCCCATCTCGGCGTGGCCAGCCCAGGCCCTGTGCTCAGCACGCTCTGCTCCCCCAAGTGAGGGGGCTGCTTCAGGATCTTTTCCACCTGACTGTGGCGCCCCCCACACTCCATCCTTCCTATTTTCTTATCTCTTTGACCAAAAATACCTTGACTTCTAAATGTTTCAGCTTCCTTGGATGCATTTGACTTGTGAAATGTGGAGGAGACCCCCAATAAGTCGTTGGGGAAATCACAAGGACCAAAAAGGCAAGCCCTTCTAAATGTGATTGTGTTCAGCCTGCTGCCACTTTATTTTAAGGCAGCCTTCAGAGCTTGGCCACATTATTCCTTCCTTTTATTACGAGGGACACCAGTTGCCCAAGTCAGGAGGATGTGGGGACCGCCCATCACAGAAACGGAATCCCCTCTTCCCACCCCTCAGTGAACTAGGGTCCTGTGGGGGCAGCCTCTGGCCTCCAGGGCTCTGGGGTCACCAGCTGCCTGCTTCCGGGCTGCCCTGGGCGATGGTGTCGGAATTTACCCCTCATGCACATCCAGTCCCCAGATACTTCATTACCCCTGAATAGTCCAGAGGTGGCTGGCAGAACGCACCTCCCTCCCCGTGAACTGACTGCACGGCGGTGAGGTCCCAGACTCAGGCCTCTCTGGAAAAGCACGTTGCTTCTTGTCCTCCGCTGGTGTCTGCCCTTGCCAGATAAGCCCAAAGACAACCACTGCCCCACTTGTAACAAATAACTGGAAGCCTCACTCCTCTGATAGTTAGAAACCCACGTTGTCCACATCCCACCTGTTACCAGCCCCGTCGCCCCCTGGTGATGGGGTACGCACGCATGCGTGCGCGCGCAAGCCAGAGGGGGCTCTGGGGCCGGCTAGAGACGGTTTGCTGTGTGCCTGCTGTGTGCCTGCCGTCTCCTGCTTGGTGTTTCACGTTCCCCAGCGGAGGAGCCTGAGAGGTAGGGAGCCAGAGTCCCACCCCACACCCCCGGCTGTGGGACCTTGGCAGTCGGGAGTGATTTGCTCATGACCTTGTTTAACGAACGGTTCCTGGCTGGGATGGACGCTTGCTTGCTTGACGCAACCAACTATATGACGTTTCTGATGCAAAATTGTGTACTGACACGACCGTCCGAAAGAAAGAAAGCCTCTGGAAAGGCCAGAAGCGCCGTCCTGGGCCCTGTAGCGTCGATGTGCAGTATTACCCCATGGCTCCCGAGCGTGGCAGGCTTCTTTCTGTACGCACTGTTGGTTTAGATAGTAATACTAGCTAATTCTGTTGTGTACATATGTTGTATTTTTTTTAATTTGCAAAATTCTATTTTTATTTGAACTTTTGGAACTTGGAAGTTCTCATTGTAACTGTAACATGTCAGAATAAAATGTCTTCATCTGTCTCCGCGGCGCTTGCTGTACGGGGGTGCATGGTTTGCATTTTACTCTCGCTTTCTACTATGTAAAACTCGCAGAGCCGGAGAGTAGATTTACGGTCTCAGAGGTCTCCTTCCAAATCTTTGACTTCATTCCCAGGGGAATGCTACCGACTTAGTCCTTAGCAAAAACCACGAAGTTCCCGGTCTTCTGTCTCTCCCTTGAAATCAACGCCATGTGATCTTGTTTACGGATGTTGTTCTCCCGTAAAAACCTACCTATTCCCTCAGCTGCCGCTACCCTTGGCAGGAGATGGAGGACCCATGTGTGATCTGACAGCGCTGTGTTTAGGAATCTGCCCCACTAACAGGATCCCTGATAGCCAACCAGAAGTACAAGCAATTTCTGGCTTCTGTTTTGCCAGAAACAGGATTTTCTTGGTCTCCGGATGATCTGCCTCAAGTTGCCATTTCACCAGTCCTAGAAATGGTGTCCGTCTGTGCCTTCCCCTCCACATGTCCCCGGGTTTCCCAAATTCCAGGGACACTTCCTGTGCACTCAGCACTGTCCGTTCTATTTGTGGGGGGACCCACTGTGTCACAGTGACCCCTTGGGAGTCGGCCCAGTTCCCCACACTTCGCTCCTAGCAGTTCCCACTCCCCGGACCTCGGGAGCCGAGTTTGGATGCTCTTTCCTGTCTCTGCTCCTGTCTTTATAAAGTCTCTCTGCTTCTTGATTTTCCGCCCTTCTGTGTTCAAAGCCCACGTGGAGAAGATTTTTGTTGGAAGTGGTTAGATTAGAGGTCCTTCACCCACTCCACTCATCAACTCACTTCTGGCCTCCCCCTCCCCCTGCAAAGAGTGAACGACTTCTTTATTCCCCCTTTTCCTGATCTCTGTACAAGACCAAGATGATTGGGCTGACGTTACAGAGCACGGACTTTGCCATGTGCTGCAGTGGTGGCTGCACAGGTGTTGACCTTCAAGGAGTTTACAATCCAGGGACAGAGACACGACTGCCTACCAAGGCAAATTGTCTTGTACTACAATAGTTATACCCAAAATGCTGCCAGTGCAGAGCTCAGTTCATAGCAGTGTTCTCCGTGAGCCTTGATTGTGTAGAATGTTCTCAGGAGCACTGGCTAAATGGCATTACGGGAGGAAGGGACAGGGTATGGAAGGGCCAGAGAAGTCAAAGTGTCAGTGGCCAGAGGGGGAAGGGGTTGGAGGAATGTCATAGATTCTGACGTGGAGAGGGGGATATGTAGATTACAGCATGGCTCCCTGTTGTGGGTGAACTTGGTGCCTGGTATTCTCTGCTTTTCAGAAGCAGATACAAAGAAATGGCATCTTCCCCAGCGCTCCCGGCCCCCCCGTGCAAGCACCTGGGACCAGAATTAGAAAAAGCTGGTGGCTACTTTTTAATTACGTCTAAGTACCCAAAAGGCACCCAAAAGCACAGTTTGTCAACAAAACAAACGTCTCTTTCTTCACTTTGCTTACCACAGGCACCACTCGGGGGGCCATGTTGCTGGTGAGGGAGGCTCTGCATGTGTGCAGGCAGGGGGTCTATGGGAAATCTCTGTACTTCCTGCTTAATTGGCTGTGAACCCAAAACTGCAACCCAAAATAAATCTTACTATGTTTAAAAGGAAGAAGAAAGAAACAGCCTTCTTCTCTCTGACAAAAGGTAAACCGGGTTATCAGGCTGGGAAAAGAAAGCAAGCACACCAACTGAGCCTTTGGCTTCTGTCCGTGGTGCTGAAGTTTATTCATTTTTCAAACCGCTTTCAATAACAGGTGGAGTGTCTATCCTAAAATTTAATGCATGGGATGGGAGAAGTGGGGAAGCCACAGTTAAACCACTTTATCTACATTTAGCATAAAATGTGAGAAATGTTGCCAAGAGGCTGCAGCTTGAATACGGTGCTCGTCACGGCTCAACTCGATGGCAATGAGATGGGACAAAGTTGAGTGTGAGACCCCAAGGGATGAGGGTCTCTCGAAATCTGCTCAGGGCCTGGCCCGCCTTTTCCTCCCTGGCCATTATCTTCGGTACTACAAAGAGAACAAAGACAAATTTGGCTTGGTGACCTGGCCCTATTGGAAAAGTCAACTTCACAGGACCATGCTCACCTCCCACCGGCCCCCACTCCAGCCTGACAACCCTAGGAGTTTCATGAACTGGGGCACAAGTTGCTCATTAGAAGTAACAAGTCAACCCTGGCTGTTTCTTTTCTTTTCTTTTTTTTTTTTTTTAGATTATTTATTTATTTATTTTGACAGAGAACAGGCGTGAACATGCGTGGGTGAGTGGGGGGAGGGACAGAGAGAGAGAATCTCAAGCAGACTCCCCGCTGAGTGTGGAGCTTGTCATGGGGCTTGATCCCATGACCCATGAGATCATGACCAAAGCTGAAACCAAGAGTCAGACGCTCAACTGACAGTCACCCAGACGCCCCAACCCTGGTCATTATCATTTAATCCTTTGGGATCTGACAGTTCTGGGGAGAAACATGAACTCCCAATCAGCAGAATGAAGGGGTCTTGGCCCCATGAACATTTTAAGTTCCCAATGGTCATGGCAGTAACTTTTTTTCCTTAGCATTTCCTTGGCAGCCTGTAGCTGAGGATGATGTCATTGGCCCAAGTTGAGGCAAACATTTCTTGGAAGTAAACTTCTGCTCTGGTCTCTTTACTGCAGAAGGCATGCCCTAGTGGTGTTCTTTGACAAGGTTTGAGTCTCAGTGAAACCACAACTTCCTTCCTCCCCATCCCGTATCCTTTCCCAGCTCCTCTTACCCGGAAGCTGTTGCAACCCAGTCCACTCTGGGCTCCAATCCTGTCCATCCTGCCTCCGAAGCAGCTGGACCTCCGCAGGCTCCGAGGGGCAGCAAGCAGCGCTCTCAGCTTGCTTTTCAGGAGGGCAGATCTATCGGAGGCGTCCCAGGGGCCCCGCCCAAGGGCGCCCCCATCTCTCTGGGCTGGGTTGACCTCCCCCGTCCAGGGAGGCACCTCAGGGAGGGGACTGAGAGCCGCCCCAGCTTCCTCATTCTGCTCACTTAGTATTTGTGGGGGCATGACCTCCTCTTCTAAAGGTATCTTGTCCTCCAAGTGGTCCAGCAAATTCTTTACAAAGGGAACACACAGGGGGAAAGGGAGAGGTCTCACTCACTGGCACAGTGTCACAAAGCCCCCTGGTCCCACACTGTGGCCCCTGTCCTGGCCCTACCTTGAAATCCATCAGGTCTGCATTGGACACAGAGCCATACGCAGGGTTAGCTCCTGTTTGCCCCAGGAGCTGAAATGCCAGGAAGAGGAGGAAGCTTGCGGTGGTGGTGGGGGCGCTCATGCTGGCGTCGCTCAAGGAGTGGCCTGGTTCTTATTGCCTCTCTGTCCTCTCGTTTCCCTCTCTCAGCCTCCGTCTGGCTCTGTCTCCCAGCTGCCCTGCACCTCCTCTTTTTATAGCCCCCCGGCTCTCCAAGAGCGCAAGAGGGACGGAACCCTCCCCATTCTGTCACTTGCAGTGATAAAGCAGCTGAATGAAGAGCAGCAGAAGATGGCCTTTTAAAGCTATCAGTCCAGCAGAGCCTGTCACTGCCCCTCCACCTTGAGCAGCCCCAACAGCCCCGGACCCTCAGCTGCAAGAGCCACATTCTTGTTGATTTGCCTCAAGAGGTTCCCACTTCAAAGGTGTGAGAAGAGCAAAAAAGAGTCCTTGGTTATCTTACAGCGATGCCTGGGGCTTCTTTCTCCTCAGCAACAGGATCCATGCAGGGAGGCAGAGGGTGACGGTTGGCCAGCGCCCAGCTCCCCAAGTTGGTTTTTGGCTCAGCTGTCAGGGGCTCCAAATAAGGGCGGGTGGGGAGGAAGTGGCAGGCAGCCTGCAGCTCAGGACAAATTAGTCCAGATGCTCAAGCTGGCCTCGCACCTGACTCATCAGCCATGAGGGCAGACCTCTCCCTCCAACTGGGCTGCCCTCCCTCCTGGCAGTCACTCGCAGTGGTCAGGTGAAGAGGGAGTTATTTTTTAGAGCCCTAAGCCAGCCGGGAACCAAATGTGATGAATGTCCCAAGAATTCAGCTCCCAGACATAAACACCAAGAAAAGTTTCAGAAACACAATCATCTCTCTGCCAAGCTCCTCCTCCTTCCTCTCTGCAGTGTAGAGGGAGGAGGGTACTTAGAGATGCCAACATTTTCATTCCGTCACCTCGCTGCTTGTAGAAACTCAAGCTCTGAATTTGAAGCTTCTAATGCCCCCAACCCTCCCGGGAAAGCTCCCTTGGTGAGTTGGCTGATGGAGTAAGAGGGAAGTGACTGTGGCACACAGTTTCCCTTAACACCTTCCATGTGACTTCTGCGAGGCCAGGCGAGTGATGAGCCACAGAGGCCTCCATTTTCCTGGCCCCTGGGGAGAAATAACAGGCAGCAAGTCTGTCCACACTTAACGCGTGGCCCCCATTCACTAAGCACAACACTCCCTGTTAGCCTGCTATTTGATGCAGCATGTACTGGGTGGCAAACACTACATTTGAAGGGTCGAGAGACCCGCATTGCAGCCCCAAACAAATCAAGTTACACACATCATCACTGCCTTATTTTCCCCATTTGTAAAAACCTGCTCTACCCACCTCTCCAGGGTGTCAGGTGAGCGAGTAATGCGTGAGCGCGTTGTGAAATGCTATCTAGTTGCAGGATGATACCCGTGGTTGCCTCCATTGACCAGCTGTAATGTGTCAGACACTCTACTGAGGGCTTTGTGTGCATTGGCTAATTGTCAGCACCACCCCCACGAGGTGGGTGGTATTGCTCCCATTCACAGAGGGGCAGAACTGAGACAGAGGCTGTCACTTGCTCAAGGTCACTCAGGCAGAGCTAGGACTTGAACCCCAGGTCCGACACCGCTGCCCATATTCCTAACCATCTCACAGATGCTGCTGCCGCTGCTTAGCGTGATGGTCCCTTACCAGCCCTTTCTGTGCAGTTCCCTACCGAACACACCCCTGCCCCCACTCTCCCAGGTGGCCTCTGAGCAGCTCCCTCCTCCTCCCCCTTCCTGGGGCTGTAGCTTTGGGTGCTTGGTAAGTGTGTGTGTGTGTGTGTGTGTGTGTGTGTGTGTGTGTGTGTGTGGACTACCTCAAGGAAGGGGTCATCCAAGCCCCATGGCCTGTTGACACACCTGAAGTGTTTCGATATACTCCATGGGACTCGGGAAATGTATGCGGAATGCCCAGCTCTAGCCTGACCAGAGAGACCCCTTCCCGGCTGCGCCCACTCCCTGGCTGATCAGGTGGAGAGGCTGTTCTTCTGTGGGAGGGCAGGAAATCAGAGCAGTATGTAGCCAAAAGTCACGAGACGTATCTGGGGTGATTTTATTCTAAGACAGAAGGAGAAAGGAGGCCTCTCCTTTCTCCAGAAGCCTTATCTGGTTGAGCCGAACTCAACCTGAAAACCAAAGTAGATGCAACCCTGAATAGGAGCTCTGGGGGCCAAACCCCTCATATCCTGATGAGTCCCTGGAATGTGCTCACAGCTTAATCGCTCAGTTGACAGGGTTATTATTAGCAAAGAGGATTCGGTGAGCAGCCACACTGGGGGAACTGATGCTCCTTGCTGTGTGCGTCACACGGCCTGTCTCCTGGAAATGCCCTTTCAGACAGGCTTTTGATGCGGGCGGCGACTTCCAGAAGGGCTTCGTGGCAGGTGGCCTCAGTCGTGGTTCTGTCGGTGGCCCGAGGAGAAGAGGAAATGCTATTCAAGGATTCAGAAAGAGAATTTCAGAATTTTCCCAGCTCTTTTTATTAACGTCACTGTTCTTCTTCCAGACCGAAATCCAAGCAGGGCGGTAATGTCAGCTGAGTTTCTTCCACGGGCCAGAGGTTTTTGTTTGGTGTGGTTTGGGTTTTGGTTTTTTGTTTTTGTTTTTGTTTTTGTTTTTGTTTTTGTTTGTGGAAGGGGAAGCGGCAAGAAAAAGCATATTCAGATTTGCTGCCCGGAGGACTTCACATAGAACCAACACCACCTCCTGCCCGGAAGTTTAGTAGGAACAAAAGCCTCAAATACAAGCATTACCCCGATCCTAGCAAAGCCTTTGATTTGCACCTGAAACAGAAAATGGCTTGATGTAAACTCCCTTCTTTTCCATGCCCCTGCTTAACCTGGGGGTGGGGGTGGGGGTGTGTGTGTGGAGGAGTTGATCTTTAATGCAGCCTTTAGAAGCCAGCCTGGAGGAGGGAGACAGAAGAAAAGCTAAAGGCACAGAAAACCAGATCCACCCCCCACCCCCACCTCTCCCACTAGCCAAAAAGCCAAAAGCCTTTATTTCCTGATCACTGGAAAGAAGTTGTCTTAGTCATATGTCGGAATGAGCAACACAGTTGGGTGGGAGAATCCAGAACTTAGGTGTCTCTAGTTTCCATCTCAGAGTTTCTGTTTTAGAATCCTCCATGGGGATGCTGCGGGCAGCTTTGGGAGCCATGAGGTCCCAGCAATGTAACACAAGTGCAAAACTGGTATAAGAGGGCACCTGGGTGGCTCGGTTGGTTGGGCGACTGCCTTCGGCTCAGGTCATGATCCTGGAGTCCCAGGATCGAGTCCCGCATCGGGCTTCCTGCTTGGCAGGGAGTCTGCTTCTCCCTCTGACCCTCTTCCCTCTTGTGCTTTCTATCTCTCATTCTCTCTCTCTCTGAAATAAATAAATAAAATCTTTAAAAAAAAAAAACTGGTATAAGAAACCCATCATATCCTCGGTATGATTCTGTCGGACACAAATGGTCTAACGCAGAAGCCCCACTTGGGAGAAATCGGTTAAGAACCTGATGCACATTTAGGGATGGTTGTTTCTGACTTTGGAAATGATGTTCTGTTTCTTAGGCACAACAAGGAGGTCCCTGGCCCTGGAAGTTGGCGGCAAGTTCCCTAGAAAACAAGGCCCAAGGCAAAAGTTCAGTTGCTCAATCTTTATGGGGGTGAGGGTGGGTTCAGTTCAAGGGAAGCGGGAGCGAGGGGAAAAGAGACAGTGCATTATTTAACTATGGCTGTGTAAAAAATGACCCCAAACCTTAGCAACTTGAAACAACGCACATCCTTTACTGATATTCCGTGGGTCAAGAATCTGGCCCTACTTAGCTGGGGTCCCCTTGCTCAGGGCTCTTGGAGGCTACAATTAAGATGTTGGCTGGGGCTGCAGTCAGCTCAAGGCTTGGCTGGAGGATCTGCTTTCAAGTTCACTCCTGTGTCTACCGACAGTCCTCAGCTCCTTGACGACCGTTGGTTGGAGGTGTCAGTTCCTCAACACATGGGCCGCTCCGGAGAAGTGCAACTGACTTCCTCTGGTACAGGGAAAGATTATGTAAACTCTTTGTAACCTCATGTTGGAAGTGGCATCCCAACGGCATGGGTACTAGGAGATGCGAGGGTATTGGGGGCCCCTCAGAGACTGCCCCCCACAGGGTAGGAGAAAAGGGAGAGCAAACAGAAGGGGATACACTCCCAAGTTGGCCACAGCTTTGCAAAAACACCTTAGTGGCTGGTGGGTCATGCTGGACATCCCCAGAGAGCTTCCTGGAGCCCAGCACCTTAGAATAGTCTGTGAGGAGAGAGCAGGGTGAGGGTACTGCGTTCGATCCCCAGGGTGGCTCTAACACAGTGCCACAAACTGGGGGGCTTAAAGCAGCGGGAGTATATTGTTTCCCAGTTCTGGAGGCCAGAAGTCTGGAATCGAGGTGTTACAAGGCCACGCTCCCTCTGAACCCTGTAAGGGGGCAGATGTCCTTGCCTCCTCCAGGTTCTGGCACCTGCTGGCGCTCATTGTCTTGTAGATGCAGCACCCCAATCTCGACCTCTGTCGTCACATGGCTGTCCTCCCTCTCTGTGTTTCTCTCTCCTCTTCGTGTAAGGACACCAGTCCTATTGGATTAGGAGCCCACCCTACTCCAGTCTGATCTCATCTTGACTCATGCCATCTACAATGAGCCTGTTTCCCAATAGGGTCACATTCTGAGGTTCTGGGGGTTTAGAACTTCAACATATCATTTGGGTATAGAATTCAATCCATAACAAACACTTTGTGGGCTCCTTTCTAACTCCTGTCTCTCACTGGTCAAAGTGCCAAGGCCACCCTCACCCCAGCCCTGCCCCAAGGCCATGAACTCCCCTTCCCTTCTGGGCTGTATTACCCAGCTCCTTCAGGTAGTAGCTGGGGAAACCTGAGGTTCTATCCACTCATGAACTGCCTTGGCAATCTCTCCTCGCCAGTTGATCCTGGCTGTTGGTGGACAAGGATTGGTGGTACATGGAGGTGGGGCAGGGGGTCAGCTGGCAGCCCTGAGATTCAGGTCAGCTCTTGCTAATGCAGCCAATGCAGCCATTGCTGCATTTTCTGGAAAGTCAGAGATGCGGGCCAAGTATGACGCAGGGCACTTGTCAGCTGCAGGACTTCACTGTTGTGCTATTCCAGCACAAGCCAGAGCTGACACAACCTGATACTTTAGAAAAAATTTTCCAAATGATTGAATGAATGAGTTTGCCTTCAGTCCCTCCCCGACCCACCCACCCCTCCAAGGTATGTACCTGCGTGCCCGCTGCTGTACCTTGCCCTCCCTGGGGTCTTCACAGGGAGGAGGAGTCACCCTCCGGCCGAAACATGAAGGTTCAGGTCTCTCGCCTGATGCAGGGAGAACCAGATGAAGGAGCCTGGAGTGGAGAGGCCAGTTAGAAAGCTGGTGAGCGGATGTCAGCATGAGTGGTGAGGGCATAAAGCAGGAATGGAAGTGAAGGATTGTGTGTAGGAGAGGCTAGGAACAAGGTGGAGTGGACACCGTGCCTGCCTGGGTGGTTCAGCCAGAGAATAGAGTCAGCAAAGATTCCAAGGGCTCTAATCATTAAGGGCGGAGCCCCAGGAGAAGCTTTAATTATTTGGGAGTGTCTTAGATTAGGTTCTCTCAAACCTGAGAGAAGGATCCAAGCCTATGTAGTTTACTTTGGACACAATCCCAGGAAACATCAGCAGGAGAATGAGGAAGTGACCGGGGAAAGAAGGAAAATCAGTGACCACTGGGACTAAGCGGAGCTCAAGCCCCCTTCCCTGCAGAGAACTCTGAGAACAGGTGTGAGATGCTTGCCACCTGTGAATCAAGGGTGCTGGATCTTTAAGTGCCACCCACTGCAAGATGTTGGTTGAGTGCTGCTCCTGGTTGATGTCAATTACCCAGCACTTCCTGCCTGCCATGAGGGGAGCCCAGTGGGCTTTGGCTGCCAGAGAAATTCACTGGGCAGCAAAGCACAATGCTGCTGGATAGAAGCAGGCAGAGGACCGGAGACTAGCACGTGAGAGTGGGAGCCAGTGTCCCAGGGCAGGTATGGAGTTTGACTGTAGAAATGTTCCAGAACATCCAGGCAGGTGCACGGGGCTGGCTCCTGACCCGATGGGAGAAATGGGTCACCTAGTGAAACAGGACTGGTTGTTTAAAGCTAAGGGAGTGCACGAAAATCCTCCCAAGGCCGAGATGGAAGGCTGAGAGCTACCACGTGAGCAAGGACAGGGGGCCAAGTTTGTGATTTTGTTTAGATCTGGCTCTGCAAGAGGAGAAATACATTCTTTTTTTCTTGCCACAGATGCTTAGAAGGGTCAAAGCTGCCACGAGAGGGATGGAGAAGGGCTCAGCATTCCTTGAGAATGTCACAGGTGCAGAGTCGGCAGCACAAAAGAAAGCATTCGGTCCCAGTGCTGTCCTGGCTTCTATAACCTCCACACTTGGCACCCAGCAAAGCTCGTCCACCCTCTACTGAAATTCTCTCCAGCTCTGAAGCCTTGGGTCAAGGCTCCGGAGCTCTATTTTCACCAACACTTCTTTCTGGGAAGATCATAGCGCCAAGCATCTATGGAGAGACATAATCTGGCAGCTTCATTGGACGACGTTGATAATAGGGAAGTCAGGGAGGTTAAGGGCATGGCTATAGCTATGTTGGGGAACGTTTGAAGGGGCCAGGGTCACAGGTAAGGGAGGGCGGGGTTTAACAGGCATCTGTAGACAGAGCATGTGTGCCCTGCTTCCCACAAACACAGAACACATGGGGAGCTCAGTGAGATGTGGCTCTGTGGGGTACATCAGGCTACCCATGCCCATCCTCCAGCAGACACATTTGGCTCCCTTGCAGTTCTCTCTGGAGTCCTCTTACCTAGACTTTTGCTTGGGGGAAAATGTCCAAGAAATAGATGTATCCTACATACAGACTCTACCACCTGAGCCCTACATATGGACGAACCAGACTCACCGGGAAGAAATCTGGAGTGTTGGCTGGATGTGGGGAGTGGGTGCTCTGGAAGGGGTCTGCCTTCATCACCTGAGCAGAGGGGAGAGGTTGACAACAGGCAAATGAGCTGAGTGATGTCATTAGGAGGGCAATTCTCCCTCCCACCAGCAAGCCTGATTCACTGACTTGGGAGGGGCCGGGTGGTGTTGTGGTTAGGGGCCTGGGTGCTAAGCCAGGCTGTGTGGGCTTGAACCCTGGCTCTGCCACTTGCTAACTGCATGATCTTGAGCAAGTTACATCACCTCCCTGTGCCTCAGTTTCCCCTTCGGTTAAAATGAGGGATAATGAGAGTTCTTCATAGATTTGTTGTGAGTCAACAGAACTGTACCTGGTGCCTAATAAGGCACCTGATGCCTAATGAAAGTTCACTACACTGAGTCCCCATGGCCCTCCCTGGGTCAGACACACTAGGCAAAGATGGCTCACCGTTTTATTAGAAAGGAACTCACTCCTAAATCTCATTTAAAAAATCTTAATTGATGTCATTGGCTATCCATAACCTCCAGCCCACACTGAGTTGAAATGAGAAATAACACTTGCGGTTCCCCTCCCTCGAAGAAACATTGGCTGAGAACAGCAGAAAGGTCGGAAGAGTGAAGTTCAAGGCCAGGAGCGCAGGGAGAAAGCACAGCCTGAGAGTCACTCGGCTCTCCACTCACATCTCTGGGCTGACAGGTGTGGCCGCCTGCTGCCAGGTAGGAGGCTTTGGTTTTCTGGGTCTCCGTTTTCTCATCCATCAAGTGGGGATAAGAATAATCGTGTCCCTTCTGCAGAGCTAGGATCATAAAAGGCATTCTGGGCAAAAGGGATTGCATGAGCTGAGGCCTGGAAGCCTGAAAGCAGGGGAGCATGGCCGGGGATGCCTGGGACGCAGGATGCATGGGGCAGGGGGGCCCATAGAGTATAGGGCAGTGACCACCATAGGACTCCCTGCTGAATGAGGCAACACAGTAGGGCTCTGGTGGTTGTCTCCTTTTCTGGCCTAGCATGAGAGGTTTTGCTCTCTGAGGCAGAGAGGAAGTGAAGATGTGGAGCCCACAGAAGAGGGGCACCCTAAAATGCTGGGCCTTTTGTCAGACACTTCTAAACTTCTGGGTTTAGGAAATGAACATGCTACTAAACTCTTGAGTTTTAAAGGTCTTGCCAGGATGACGTCAGGAATTGAAGGTTGGAAGCTGAGGTTTAGGGCAGAGTGGAGAGCTCAATCCCGTTTAGAGATGCATATGAGACAGTCTCTCTCTCTCTCTCTCTCTCTCTCACACACACACACACACACACACACACACACACACGTGTGCATGCATGCACATGCACACACTGACCCTGATCTCTGAGATTTTAGCTCGGACCTCCTGGAAACAGCCATCACCAAGGTAGAACACCTTTGATGGCATAATTCCAGTCAGAGGGAAAACTAGTAAGCAAACACTGACACACACCCTCGCTTGCATGAATATATCAGGACCCATTTCCACTCCCAGGGAGCAACTACCAGCTTTGAAAGGCAGTTTCTGCAAAGTGCCTTGAGTACTTGAGGTATTTATAGACATTTCAGAGCATGAAAAACCCTTCAAGAGAAGAGAGGCGCCCCCAACCCTGCTTGACCAGCCCCGATGCCATGTCCCCACCCCACCATTAAGACATTTTTGGAACCTTCAAGAAAACAAAGGGTTTAGGTATTTTTGGTTCTTGTTTTTTAAATGATGCATTACTTTTAATGCACTGGGACAAATCAGCTTCAAAAGAATCTATAATGTTGACTTTATTTCACCATGGAAAATTTGTGCTCGGAGGTAAGAATTGTCTTATATAAAACAATTGAAATAAATAAATAAATAAATACAAATAAATAAGAATTGCTTCAAAGGGGCTCAGAGGGCCATTGAAGAATCAGATGCAGATGTCTGCAGCCAGGACCTCCTCTTAATACCTTCTCAGCACTGTGGGAAGAGAGAAAGGGTGATAATGGCGTGAGGTGGGAGACAGGCAGGATCTGAGCTTCCCCACCCCACGGGCCATGCCTGCCACCATCCCCCAGCCTCAGTCAATTTGGATGTTTGAGGCTTTGGAATAATCCCTTTCTCTGAACCTCAGTCTCCTCATCTGTAAACCGGGAATCATCCTTGCCCTGGCGATCCTGCCCTCTGCCTTTGCGGCTGTAGACAGGTTAGGGGAAACCAGGAGGAAAATGTTTAGGACTCTTTCTGCTCCAAGGAGAGGGTGCCAGACAATGACTGGATTCCATCCTAAGGCAATTCTGCCCCTTTGGGTAAGAGAGGCAGGAGGTGGCTAGAAGGGGAGTAGGGACTCATGGACGATGATGTCCACGTTTAATATTTCCAGAAAGGCACTCCTTGGCCCTAAGGACTGTCAGCAAGAGAGAATAATGTCCAAGTGTCCTTTTCTCAGGGTGTGGTCCCTGGAGACAGCAAACCCAGAAGTGGTTCCAATGGTTGAACCCACGGGAATGGGGGAGGGTGAGCCAAGGTGCAGGGAGGGGGCTTACCATTGCAGCCCAGGCCACTGAGGGAGCCAATCCGGTCCAGCCTCCGGCCAAAGCACCCTGACTTGCGCATCATCTTGGGGCTGCGTAATCTTCTCAGGGCCTGGAGGACATTGTCACTGGGCGCAAGGGCCCCCGCAGGGAGATCCCCCCCGGTCTCCCAGTCTTCTGCGGGGCTGTGGTCCTGCTGGAGGGGTCCCAGGGCCATCTGCTTTGCCTGCAGCTCTGAAACTGTGTCCCTCAGACGGTCCAGCAGCTCCTGCAATGGGTGGGGATAGCCTGAGCCTCAGGAACCTGCACCTGGGTGGAACTGCCCTGGATGGGACCCAAGTGAACCAATCGCCTTGGGTATGGAGTCCTGGCACCCAATTCCATCACTTTCTGGTTCTCTTATCACTAATTCCCAAGGGATACTGAGGACCTCTTGGGACAGTAGCTAAGAACCCGTGACCTGCTGCTACCCACAGTGGCCTTCACGAACGCGGCAGCGCTCACCTGCACTGGCTCACCTGCATTGCGGACAGCTCCGAGGCGGGGCCGGGCCCGCCCAGCGGGTGGGAGCGACCTCCTAATGGCGACAGATACAAGAACAGGAGGAGCAGGAAGGCCCGGGATAGCGCCGTCTGGGGGTCCATGTCGCTGGAGAGAAGTGGGGAAAGAGATGGTCGCTGCCGCTGCTGCGCTGCGTCCCGGGTCACGTCTCACCTCTTCGGGCCTGCGGGCGCTCTCCTGGATCCCTCGGCAACGTCGGCCTTTTATCCCGCGCCTGGGGTTATCTCTGATTTATCGGCCGCATTCCGGCCAGCTGAGCTCAGGGCGGGGGAATGCGCCCCTCCGCGCCTGCGACCACACTCGCCGGGGGTGGAGGCTGGGGAGAGCAGGCCTTGTATAGAAATAGGCCTGCCCGGGGCGGGGGGGGGGGCGGGAGCGCGCGGGGGACATCAACAGGTCCTTCGCCTCCCGCTTCCTCCTTTCCTGCCGCACTCCTGGGGCCTTTCCTCCCCACCCCCAACCATTCCCGGAGAGGGCAGAGACAACTCCAGCTTTCCGATGCCCGACGCAAGTGCGGAGCGCACCGGGTGACTCAGAGCCAGGAGAGCCCCAGCCAACACCCCAACAGCGCAGCGCGTCTTCCCTCCCCTCGCCTGCCTGTTACTCGGCACGCGCTCGGCTCTGTGCAACCCTTGGGGCCGCGGGTCTCCCGGAGCCCTGACCGCTGTCCGTGGTGCTGATCCTTCTGAGCAAACCCGGCGCCAAGAGGTCTTGCTCTCCTCCACTCAGGTCTGGCCAGAAAGACAAGCATGGAGTAGGGAACGTCTGAGACCCCTCCCCACCCTCTCGCAGCTGCCTGCACTAGGATGCACATTCTCCAATGTCATCTGATTAAAAGCCTGGGCATGACAAGGAACTTCTGGAATGCTGACCCGGCTTCCATCCCTTAAACGGTAGAGCTTGATTTGGCTGGAATTTTGAGAGGCAAGGCCCAGAGATGAAGTCACCCAGGAATGCCGTCTATCACATCTCCTCCAGGTGCCAACACCTCCTCTCCCCCACCAAGCCAACATGGGACAGAAAAAGCAAAGATGACTGGAAGATGGTTATCTATTTGGTGGGACGCTAGAAGTGTGAAGAGTGCCCCTCCCCAATGCCCTCCTTCATCTGACCATCCATGACCTAATTCCTATTAGCAGATGGTCTGGACCTCCTGCCTGTGATTACAAATGAGGCTGCAAAGAAAAATGGCCCTGGAAAGAGACACAGCAGATTAAATCCCCCCTAAAGCATACATGACTTATGTCACCACCCCTTCTAGATGCCTTGGGTGGACGAGCAGCAGGATGAGAGAATGGGATATGGGTGATGAAGAAAAGGCAGCAAGGGGCAGAAGATGTGACCTCGAAGCAAATCTTACCTTAGAAAAATAGCATCTGCCTGATATGTGAGAAAAAGATTGTTACTGTTTTTCATTTTTCAAACGAGGAAACTGAGCTCAGAGGAATTAATCTGATTTCTCAGTTGACAGGTGGGAAAGCTTGGTTGCAACCCAGGCAGTCTGACTCCAGAGCTGACTCTCTTAATCACTGCCAGGGTGATTGCAAGGGGTTCCTACTAAAAGAAAAATTTAGATTAATCCACTGTCATCTCTGAAGGTACAGGAAGCTGTGTGTGCGCGCGCACATGCACCAGAGAAAGAATATCCAAAGATTAAGTGTCAGTGAAAGAGACAAGAAAATCCAGTCCAGTGCAGAGCTGAGTCAGAGGGTCAGGGGCTGCTGAGAACGTCGAGTTCCTAATGCTGGATGGCAAAAGTGTTAGGAGCAAGACCCAGTCCATCAACCAGCACCTATTAAAAAATGGTTCTGCATGTAACCTGAGCCTTGTTTTGCTCTTCCGCAAAATGGACATATGCTCCCCCCTTTCAAGGACTACAAGGGAGAAAATGATGTCTGTGAAAGTCCATGGCATTATGGAAAGAGACAAAGAATTAGAAATATAATTGCACTGAAGGAGATTGTGATCCCACTAGGGAAACGGTCAGGCCAGGGAAAATAATTAAGTGCAAAGCACTCTGACAGAGCCTCCGCTTGCCCCAGCAGAAGGGATTGTGGAAAAAATTTTAGGGAAGGCACAGGATTGGATATATCCTCCGGGACCTTCTGTCCAGTGAAGAACAATATATTATCAATTAGTTCTCACACCAAATCCCATCCCCACAAACATTTATTAAGTGCCTACTGTACGCCACGCACTTTCCACTCCTATTAAATGGAGCTAATCAGACCATCAATGTCACAGTATTACTGCACCAGGATTAAATGAGATGGTATATGTGGTAGGCTGCACAATGTTCCCCCAAAGATGTCCATATCCTAATCCCCAGAACCTGTGACTATGTTACTTGACATAGGCAAAGGGGACTTTGCACCTGTGGTTAAAGATCTGGAGGTGGAAAGATTATCCAGGATTCTGGGGGAGGGCTAATGTAATCACAAGGGTCCTCATAAGAGGGAAGCAGGAGGATCAGGGTCAGAAAGAGACAACGGAAGGATGGAAACAGAGGTCAGAGATAAGAGAAGCGTCTACACTACTGCTGGCATCTTTGAAAATGGAGGAAGAGGCCATGAGCTAAGGAGTGTAATTGGCCTCCAGAAGCTAGAAAAAGCAAAGAAATGGATTCTTCTCTAGACCCTCCAGAAGGAACACAGCCTGCCTGCCAACACCTTGAGTTTCGCCCATTGAAAAAACATACTTCAGAGTTCTGATCTCCAGAACTATATGGAAATCAGTTTATATTATTTTAAGGCGCTAAGTTTACAGCAATTTGTTTCATTAGTAACATGAAATTAATACAGTGTATGTAAAATGCTAAGCGTAGCGCCTGATACTTAATAAACAAAGGTGGTTGTGGTAGCAGTATTGGTTCTTACCAGGGTCAAACCTCAGGTGCTAGGTGCTGGCTACAGAGAAAGAAATAAGCCCCTTAACTCATTCAACAAACCTTTATCAAAGGTTTGGGGTCACAGCGGTCTGCAGTCTAGACTCTGGAATCAGACTGCCTGCATTCAACACCACCTCAACCTTTTGCTATGTATGTGATCTTGGGCAAGTTACTTCACCTCTCTTCATGTTTTCTCATGTCTGTACCACAGGGTTGCCATGAGGAGGGAATGGGACCGTGCAGGTAAAACTAAGCTTCTGCTAGGAGGTGGGGACACCATGAACAAGACAAATTCTGTTCTTGGGGAGCTCACAGTGCAGGGAGAAACACACAGTCACAGACCCCCCAGCCCCACAGGATGATGTGGTGACGGATATGGGTGAGTCCTGGGCGCTCTGTAAGCATAGTAGGAACACTCAGTTGAGGGGGAATCTTCCTGGAGAAGGTAGTACTGAGCTAAAGCTTTGAAGGATAAGAATGAATGAGCCATGAGAAGGAAGATGAGGAGGGCATTCTGGGCAGAGGTGGGGGCTGCTTAACTGATCAACTACCACAACTAGTATCTTAGTCCGTTTGAGCTGCTATAACAAAAGAGCAAAGACTGTGTGGTTCATAAACAACAGAAATGTATTTCTCACAATTCTGGAGGCTAGGAAGTCCAAGATCAAGGTGCTGGCAGATTCAGTGTCTGATGAGAGCCCTCTTACTGATTCATAAGCCGCTATTTCCTCTGCACCCTCATATGGCAGAAGGGACAAGGGAGCTCTCTGAGTTCTCTTTTACAGAGGCACTAATCCCATTGTGAGGGCTCCACCCCCATGACCTAATCACCTCCCAATGGTCCTACCTCCTAATACCTTCACATTTGGGAAATAAGTTTCAACATATGAATTTGTTGGGAGGGAACACAGACATTTTGTCTTTGGTATCTAGGCTATTGGCAGAAGAACATGCAGAAAAAGAAAGGTTTGGGACAAGTGTGCAGAGCTACAGCTCCCCTTTGACTCTGACCTCCAGCCATGGGCAGCCATAGGGGCAACACAAGAGCACTGACCGCTAGGGAAAGAGGAAGGAGGAAGCAGGGAGCACTGCCCAAGGAGTCAGCAGGTGGTATGTCTCTGCCCACTGCTATCTCATGGTATGGCTTTACGCAAGTCATTTCTCTGCTCTGGGACTCTGTTTCCCCTTATGTAGAATGGAGGAATTAGACGAGGATTTCTCAACGCACAGAAGCCCTGTAACCATCAGCTGCCCCTAGTTCATGGTTAGGTCTGCTCACCAGCTCCCAACCCCCACTAGTACTTCAATCTTCTATGACTTGTAGACTTTCTCAAAAGCCAGACAACACCTACAGAAGGACCATCAGATACTTCACAGCATGGCATCAATGCAGATGCACGCGCAGGGGTGTGTGTGTGTGTGTGTGTGTGTGTGTGTGTGTGTGTGTGTTGGGGGTGCTTTGGAAACCAGCCGGAGTGTGCAGCTCTTCTCTGCCCTTCAAGTGAATCTCCAAACTGATGGTTATCAGAGGGAGGGCTGAGCTTGGTAGCCTGGAAAGAAATAGCTATTAACTCTTCCCATCCTGTGTCCAGCCTCACAAGCAACATCTGAAGCATCTGAGTGTAATAGAGGGGTTGCCTCTCATTTCTATAACCTCATAAGGAAAACGAAATCTGAATGGGTCAGATTCCTTCCCACCTACCTCCAGAAAGGCCTGTACTCATTTTGTCCCTCTAGCCAAATCCTGGTGGCATCATTGGAGCTCCTGGACTCATAAATGCCTGAAGTTAATCTACTTTGGCCTTTGCACTTATGCGAGCTGATAAATCTGCCCCCCCCCCACTTTTTTACCTAGACCAATTTAAGTTAGATTTCTGTCACTTCCATCCCAAAGCTCCCTAACTGACCCAGTCCCCAAAAGAAACTGCACACCTTTTTCTTAGAAATATTTCTTGAGGCTAAAAGACATCCCTTAGTAAAAGCCCAAGGTCTGGAGCCTTTGCAGACAAAAGTGCTGAACGCTGTCTAATTTTATTTTTCTGATTTACTGCAGCACTTTATTTCTCTCCCACAATGATTCACTGCTGGGGCCAAATGTTCTCACGTGACAGTAGAAAACCAAAATTGGTCATCTCTTAAAGAATTGAGAATCGCATACAAAAACTTTACATAAATTAAAAGGAGAAATAAATGTACAGGGATAAATGCAAACCATTTTTCAACTCAAGGCAAATAACAACCCACAGTATTCTGGCAGAAAAACATCAGCTAAGAAAGGAAAATGGAGAGGGA